CATTGGATTCTTGATTGAAGGGGGGGGAATCACTGGTCCCCTGAAACGCATTGTATTCCTGATGAAGGGGGGATGACTGGCCCTGAAACGCATTGTATTCCTGATGGAGGATCACTGGCCCTGAAACGCATTGGCTTCCTGATGAAGGGGGATCACTGGCCCTGAAACGCATTGGATTCCTGATGGAGGATCACTGGCCCTGAAACGCATTGGATTTCCTGATGGAGGATCACTGACCCTGAAACGCATTGGATTCCTGATGAAGGGGGGATCACTGGCCCTGAAACGCACTGGATTCCTGATGAAGGGGGGATCACTGGCCCTGAAACGCATTGGATTCCTGATGAAGGGGGAACACTGGCCCTGAAACGCATTGGATTTCTGATGGAGGATCACTGACCCTGAAACGCATTTGATTCCTGATGGAGGATCACTGACCCTGAAACGCATTGGATTCCCTGAAACGCATGATGATTGATTCTTGATGGGGGGATCACTGGAAACCATTGGATTCCTGATGAAGGGGGGGATCACTGGCCTCTGAAACGCATTGGATTCCTGATGAAGGGGGGGATCACTGGCCCTGAAACGCATGATGGATTCCTGATGAAGGGGGGATCACTGGCCCTGAACGCATTGGCTTTCTGATGGATGAAACGCATTGGATTCCTGATGAAGGGGGGGATCACTGGCCCTGAAACGCATTGGATTCCTGATGAAGGGGGGATGGCAAACGCATTGGCCCTGAAACGCATTGGATTCTGATGAAGGGGGGATCACTGGCCCTGAAACGCATTGGATTCCTGATGAAGGGGGGATCACTGGCCCTGAAACGCATTGGAAGGGGGGATTCCTGATGAATGGGGGGGATCACTGGCCCTGAAACGCATTGGCTTCCTGATGAAACGCATGGGGAAGGGGGGATCACTGGCCCCTGAAACGCACTGGGTTCCTGATGAAGGGGGGATCACTGGCCCTGAAACGCATGGCTTCCTGATGAAGGGGGGGATCACTGGCCCTGAAACGCATTGGCTTCCTGATGAATGGGGATCACTGGCCCCTGAAACGCACTGGATTCCTGATGAAGGAGGATCCTGGCTCCTGAAACGCATTGGATTCCTGATGGAGCATCCTGAAACGCATGAAGGGGGATCACTGGCCCTGAAACGCATTGGATTCCTGATGAAGGGGGATCACTGGCTCCTGAAACGCATTGGATTCCTGATGGAGCATCACTGGCTCCTGAAACGCATTGGATTCCTGATGAAGGAGGATCACTGGCCCCTGAAACGCACTGGATTCCTGATGAAGGGGGATCACTGGCTCCTGAAACGCATTGGATTCCTGATGAAGGAGGATCACTGGCCCCTGAAACGCACTGGATTCCTGATGAAGGAGGATCACTGGCTCCTGAAACGCATTGGATTCCTGATGGAGGATCACTGGCCCCTGAAACGCACTGGATTCCTGATGAAGGGGGATCACTGGCTCCTGAAACGCATTGGATTCCTGATGAAGGAGGATCACTGGCTCCTGAAACGCATTGGATTCCTTTTTCGTTTCCATATTGTTACTCTCATTATTAATGGACTTTATATGACTGTTTGGTGCTCTTTTTATGCACAAGGACAGAGCGTGGCCACAGGAAGTAGTCTCCATCAGAACCGTGTGACGGGGTGACAACACAGGAGCACAACTGGGAAAAGGACAGAGCGTTGTCACCTTTATAACAGGAAGAGCCTGAACAAGGACTTGATTGTCTCCTGTCAACCTCCGATGGATCCCACCCCGTTGTCACCTAAGCACCCCCAGGTTACTCTGTATAGAGACGGATCTCGCCCCGTTGTCACCTCCAGGTTACTCTGTGTATAGAGATGGATCTCGCCCCGTTGTCACCCCCCAGGTTACTCTGTATAAACAGTTACATAGTTAGTCTGGCTGAAAAAGGACAAACGTTCATCCAGTTCAAACCATTTGTATGTATTTCCTCCGGCCGGCCCTGGAATCCGTTTCCAGTCTTTAAATGACGACAATCACTTCCTGGAACTGCGAGGTTTCGGCGTGTGGAGAGGAAAAAGTGTACAGCTGGGCGCTCCCCGCGACTCGCCCTTCCCATGAAACCTTCCGCTTCACCGATTCGTTCTCACCTTGCGGTGCACCTCATTCTCCAATACAAAGAAAGATACAAAAAAAGATTTAAAAAAGATACAAAAAAAGATACAAAAGAAACAAAAAAGATACAAAAAAAGATACAAAAAAAGAAAAGAATCAACACGAAAATATTCAGACTCCCCATGTTAGAAAAGTATACAATATGATATATACAGCGCCTTGAAGTACCCCCCCCCTGAAATGTCCCCCCCCCCCCCCCCTGTTGTCATGTTACAATGTATACCCCCCCCCCCCCCCCCCCCTGAAATGTCCCCCATGTTGTCATGTTACAATGTATACCCCCCCCCCCCCGAAATGTCCCCCATGTTGTCATGTTACAATGTATACCCCCCCCCCCCGAAATGTCCCCCATGTTGTCATGTTACAATTTATACCCCCCCCGAAATGTCCCCCATGTTGTCATGTTACAATGTATACCCCCCCCCCCCTGAAATGTCCCCCATGTTGTCATGTTACAATGTATCCCCCCTTAAATGTCCCCCATGTTGTCACGTTACAATGTATACCCCCCCCCCCCGAAATGTCCCCCATGTTGTCATGTTACAATGTATTCCCCTCCCCCCTGAAATGTCCCCCATGTTGTCATGTTACAATGTATTCCCCTCCCCCCTGAAATGTCCCCCATGTTGTCATGTTACAATGTATTCCCCCCCCTGAAATGTCCCCCCATGTTGTCATGTTACAATGTATTCCCCCCCCCCTGAAATGTCCCCCATGTTGTCATGTTACAATGTATTCCCCCCCCCCTGAAATGTCCCCCATGTTGTCATGTTACAATGTATTCCCCCCCCCTGAAATGTCCCCCATGTTGTCATGTTACAATGTATCCCCCCTCCCCCTGAAATGTCCCCCATGTTGTCATGTTACAATGTATCCCCCTCCCCCCTGAAATGTCCCCCATGTTGTCATGTTACAATGTATTCCCCTCCCCCTGAAATGTCCCCCATGTTGTCATGTTACAATGTATCCCCCTCCCCCTGAAATGTCCCCCATGTTGTCATGTTACAATGTATCCCCCTCCCCCCTGAAATGTCCCCATGTTGTCATGTTACAATGTATCCCCCCCCCCTGAAATGTCCCCATGTTGTCATGTTACAATGTATTCCTCCTCCCCCCCTGAAATGTCCCCCATGTTGTCATGTTACAATGTATCCCCCTCCCCCCCGAAATGTCCCCCATGTTGTCATGTTACAATGCCTTGGAAAATTAGCTCTCTTAAAGCTGAGCATTATTATTTTCCTCGTATGTGCTCGCTGTTTACATCCAACAATAAATGAAGTCATGTTCTGGTCACGGCTACCCAGATGTTCTCTTATATGGATATCCGTGATGAGCTCTGCATGGTTGGAGATGACCGGGTCCAGCAGAGCATCATTCCTAGTTGGGGCTTCTAGTAGTAAGTTGCCCTGTAGTAGGTTTACACATTGTTCCCTGTTAACTTTTCCTGCAGTCCCATTACTCCAGTCACTTTCCGTGGCGTTACCATCCCCCATTATTATCACAGTCCCCGCCCTTTCCATCTGAGTCTCCTCCTCCTCTTGGGTCAGCGGGAGGAACCATGGTACACGTCAGTATACAAAGGTGTCTGACACTCCAGGAAGTGTCGGATGTAGAGGACTCCTGGCAGGGGTAGCCGAGTCCTGTGAACAGTCACTCTAATGTAGAAATTTTAATGTTTTTCCATGAATTGAAAACGGAATATTTTCTGATTTCAGGCACCGCCAGCGTGGCGAGAGCGTGGAGCTCCAACTTCGATGACATGATCGGGAAAGTGATCAGCAGCTTCTTCAAGGAGAGAATCGCCTTCAAAGTCCCGCATGTGCTGGCCGAATATCCCGACTTCTTCGCTCTGATGCTGGTCATCCTGCTAACCAGTGAGTTATCCCCATCCTAATTGGTTGAACAAGCCGGGTCCATTATGAGGGGTTCCCACCATCCCTGTGCCGAGTTCCTGGGTCTGTACGCCCGCTGTGCCCATTATGAGGGGTTCCCACCATCCCTGTGCCGAGTTCCCTGTTCTTTACACTCGCTGTGCCCATTATGAGGGGTTCCCACCATCCCTGTGCCGAGTTCCTGGGTCTGTACACCCAGTGCGCCCATTATGAGGGGTTCCCACCATCCCTGTGCTGAGTTCCTGGGGTCTGTACGCCAGTGTGCCCATTATGAGGGGTTCCCACCATCCCTGTGCTGAGTTCCCAGGTCTGTACACTAAGTGCGCCCATTATGAGGGGTTCCCACCATCCCTGTGCTGAGTTCCCAGGTCTGTACACCCAGTGTGCCCATTATGAGTGGTTCCCACCATCCCTGTGCCAAATTCCCACCATCCCTGTGCTGAGGGTCTGTACACCCGCTGCGCCCATTATGAGGGGTTCCCACCATCCCTGTGCTGAGTTCCCAGGTCTGTACACCCAGTGCGCCCATTATGAGGGGTTCCCACCATCCCTGTGCTGAGTTCCCGGGTCTGTACACCCAGTGTGCCCATTATGAGTGGTTCCCACCATCCCTGTGCTGAGTTCCCGGGTCTGTACACCCTCAGTGCCCATTATGATGGGTTCCCACCATCCCTGTGCTGAGTTCCCGGGTCTGTACACCCGCAGTGCCCATTATGAGCGGTTCCCACCATCCCTGTGCTGAGTTCCCAGGTCTTTACGCTCGCTATGCCCATTATGAGGGTTTCCCACCATCCCTGTGCTGAGTGCCTGTGCCCAGTGAGGGTTCCCACCATCCCTGTGCTGAGTTCCCGGGTCTGTACATCCCGCTGTGCCCATTATGAGGGGTTCCCACCATCCCTGTGCTGAGTTCCCAGGTCTGTACATCCACTGTGCCCATTATGAGGGGTTCCCACCATCCCTGTGCCGAGTTCCCGGGTCTGTATGCCCGCTGTGCCCATTATGAGGGGTTCCCACCATCCCTGTGCTGAGTTCCCGGGTCTGTACACCCGCTGTGCCCATTATGAGGGGTTCCCACCATCCCTGTGCTGTGTTCCCGGGTCTGTACACCCGCTGTGCCCATTATGAGGGGTTCCCACCATCCCTGTGCTGAGTGCCTGTGCCCATTGAGGGGTTCCCACCATCCCTGTGCCTAGTGCCTGGATCTGTACACCTGCTGTGCCCCCGGGTCTGTATGCCCGCTTATGAGGGGTTCCCACCATCCCTGTGCCTAGTTCCCGGGTCTGAACACCTTCTGTGCCCATTATGAGGGGTTCCCACCATCCCTGTGTTGAGTTGCCAGGTTTGTACGCCCGCTGTGCCCATTATGAAGGGTTCCCACCATCCCTGTGCTGAGTGCCTGTGCCCATTGAGGGGTTCCCACCATCCCTGTGCCTAGTACCTGGATCTGTACACCTTCTGTGCCCATTATGAAGGGTTCCCACCATCCCTGTGTTGAGTTGCCGGGTCTGTACGCCCGCTGTGCCCATTATGAGGGGTTCCCACCATCCCTGTGTTGAGTTTGTGCCCATTATGGGGGTCTGTACGCCCGCTGTGCCCATTATGAGGGGTTCCCACCATCCCTGGTCTGAGTTCCGGTGGTTGTAGTCACTGAGCCCACCAGGCTCCACCTGTCACTGTAGTCCCCGTAGTGGACGGACCTCTCACCCCCCTGTAGGGACCCCACAATGTACGGGCCGCCTCCTGTGGGGCTGTTCCCGGCACGGCTTCCTCTTGTTTGTTTCTTTGCTGACATTTTCTATTCGGATCCGTTAATTGACAGCCGACTTCACCGAGAAATAATGAGAAATAATGGCCTCATTACACTAATGAATGTTCCTGTCTGGTGATCGGAGCAACAAATGACCGAACCCGCAGGAATATGACAGACGAATTATCTGGGGTAGGAATAGCTTTTGTTGGCATTGGGGGAGGGGGGCACCTAATACTGGAGGTATACAGTGCGTGCTGAAAGGGCCACTAAGCCCATGTGACAGGGTGACAACACAGGAGTACAAATGGGACTGAGCGTTGTCACCCTATAACAGGAAGTGAGCAGGACTTCTCAACCAGGGATCCATGGACCCCTAGGGCTCCTCCAGAGGTTCCTAGGTTCCACCGACCCCCCCAATGTAAGGGATATTCCTCCCACCGACCCCCCCAATGTAAGGGACATTCCTCCCACCGACCCCCCCCCCCAATGTAAGGGACATTCTTCCCACTGACCCCGAATGTAAGGGCATTCTTCCCACTGACCCCCCAATGTAAGGGACATTCTTCCCACTGACCCCGAATGAAGGGACATTCTTCCCACTGACCCCCCAATGTAAGGGACATTCTTCCCACTGACCCCCAATGTAAGGGACATTCTTCCCACTGACCCCCAATGTAAGGGACATTCTTCCCACTGACCCCCCAATGTAAGGGGCATTCTTCCCACTGACCTCCAATGTAAGGGACATTCTTCCCACTGATCCCCAATGTAAGGGACATTCTTCCCACTGACCCCCATTGTAAGGGACATTCTTCCCACTGACCCCCCAATGTAAGGGACATTCTTCCCACTGATCACCAATGTAAGGGACATTCTTCCCACTGACCCCCCCCAATGTAAGGGACATTCTTCCCACTGACCCCCCAATGTAAGGGACATTCTTCCCACTGACCCCCCAATGTAAGGGATATTCCTCCCACCGACCCCCCCAATGTAAGGGACATTCCTCCCACCGACCCCCCCCAATGTAAGGGACATTCTTCCCACTGACCCCCAATGTAAGGGACATTCTTTCCACTGATCACCAATGTAAGGGACATTCTTCCCACTGACCCCCAATGTAAGGGACATTCTTCCCACTGACCCCAATGTAAGGGACATTCTTCCCACTGACCCCCAATGTAAGGGACATTCTTCCCACTGACCCCCAATGTAAGGGGCATTCTTCCCACTGATCACCAATGTAAGGGACATTCCTCCCACCGACCCCCCCCCATTGTAAGGGACATTCTTCCCACTGACCCCCAATGTAAGGGACATTCTTCCCACTGATCCTCAATGTAAGGGACATTCTTCCCACTGATCACCAATGTAAGGGACATTCCTTCCACCGACCCCCCAATGTAAGGGACATTCTTCCCACTGACCCCCCAATGTAAGGGACATTCTTCCCACTGATCCTCAATGTAAGGGACATTCTTCCCACTGATCACCAATGTAAGGGACATTCTTCCCACTGACCCTCAATGTAAGGGACATTCTTCCCACTGACCCCCAATGTAAGGGACATTCTTCCCACTGATCCCCAATGTAAGGGACATTCTTCCCACTGACCCCCAATGTAAGGGACATTCTTCCCACTGACCCCCAATGTAAGGGACATTCTTCCCACTGACCCCCAATGTAAGGGACATTCTTCCCACTGACCACCAATGTAAGGGACATTCTTCCCACTGACCCCCAATGTAAGGGACATTCTTCCCACTGACCCCCAATGTAAGGGACATTCTTCCCACTGACCTCCAATGTAAGGGACATTCTTCCCACTGACCCCCCCCAATGTAAGGGACATTCTTCCCACTGACCCCCAATGTAAGGGACATTCTTCCCACTGACCCCCAATGTAAGGGACATTCTTCCCACTGACCCCCAATGTAAGGGACAGTCTTCCCACTGACCCCCAATGTAAGGGACATTCTTCCCACTGATCCCCAATGTAAGGGACATTCTTCCCACTGACCCCAATGTAAGGGACATTCTTCTGACCCCCACACTAATGTCTCATAGGTTGGAGATATAGGACTTTGTAGCGGGGAGGTTCCCTGACACCGGAATGTAATTTTGGGGGTCCCTCTGTGTAGAGATGGTTGAGCGAGGCTGATGCAGAGGAAGGTTGGGTGTGGACGTCTTCTTCGCTGTCGCGGCACCCACGATACGACTCTGACTCTGCACCTCTGACATCACTTTAGGGCTTTAGGTGTTGAGAACGGTCGCCATCAGCCGTATCCTAGGAGGAGGAGACTTGTGCCAGGGGCGGACTGACAACTCATGGGGCCCCTGGGCAATAGGGGATCATGGGGCCCCTGTGTCCTTGCCCAAACTCAAAAAAGCTTATAAAAAGGTACCAGGGGCATCTCATGGGGCCCCCTACTGACCCCGGGCCCTCGGGTCAGTCCGCCCCTGCTTGGGGTGCACCTAGGTATCGCATAACGCCGGAGAATCCTCAACGCCACCCAAGCCGCGTTCAGCTGCCTAAAGCAGTACTCCGGATCTTCATCTTTTTTGGCTGTCTCCCGCCCTCCCCGCGCTCTCCCGCTCTCCTGCCCTCCCTCTCTCCCACCTGCCCTCTGTCCCGCCGCCCGCCTGCTCTCCCCCTGTCCCGCTCTCCCGCCCCTCCGGTCTTCCGCTCTCCCGATGCCCACCTGCTCTCCCGCCGTCCCGCTCTCCCGCCCTCCCGGTCTTCCGCTCTCCCGCTGCCCACCTGCTCTCCCCCTGTCCCGCTCTCCCACCCACCTGCTCTCCCACCCTCCCGCCCTCCCTCTCTCCCACCCGCCCGCTTGTCCCGCCCTCCGTCCGCTCCCGCTCTCCCGCCCGCCCGCCTGCTCTCCCCCTGTCCCGCTCTCCCGCCCTCCCGGTCTTCCGCTCTCCCGCTGCCCACCTGCTCTCCCCCTGTCCCGCTCTCCCGCCCTCCTGGTCTTCCGCTCTCCCGCCCTCCTGCTCTCCCGCCGTCCCGCTCTCCCGCCCGCGGTGGTATCTCTGCGATTTGCAAATGATACAGAAAAAATGATATTTTTGTATATAAAGCTAGAAATGGTGAAGTTCCTGATATTTCCCTGAAGTGCGATCGTTCCGTGAATCGTTATGGGCGGCTTTCATCGCTCCGCTGCCTCCTGCGCAGCACGGCCTCCATTATCGCAGCACCTTGGGAAGGCCGCCAGCTGCTGGCGCTTCCATGTAAGCGGAGAGCGATTATCAGAGAGGAGCCGGCGGGTTCAACAACCCCCTACGCTGCAATTATACCAGATCAATGGGTGCCGCTCACCGCAAAGCTGACGTTCCATACAGAGGAGTCGGGGGGGGGAGGGGGGGAGCCAGTCAAGTGTGAGAAGATTCAATGGTTCCGGAACTCCTCTAGAGAATAACCGTCACCCACCTGGCCACTCATCCATTCACTGACACCGGAGTGTCACCGCCGTCATTCCAATCCGCAATTCAAAGGAAGAAAGGAAGAAATGTCAATCAAAAATCAGCAGAGGAATGATGGGTGGGGGGGCAGGTGTGAGGGTGGGGGGGAGGGTGCTTTATTTATGGTCATAAAGTATGAATAGTAACACATCTTAGAGGTAACTTGTAACTGTCATCTTATGGCGCCACTTTGTTACATTGTATTTACTCTCCTTCATTCGCATCATTGTTACATTGTATTTATTTTCTTCATTCACATCATTGTTACATTGTATTTACTCTCCTTCATTTACATCATTGTTACATTGTATTTATTTTCTTCATTCACATCTTTGTTACATTGTATTTATATTCTTCATTCACATCATTGTTACATTGTATTTACTCTCCTTCATTTACATCATTGTTACATTGTATTTACTCTCCTTCATTTACATCATTGTTACATTGTATTTACTCTTCATTTACATCATTGTTACATTGTATTTACTCTCCATTTACATCATTGTTACATTGTATTTACACTCCTTCATATACATCATTGTTACATTGTATTTACACGCCTTCATTCACATCATTGTTACATTGTATTTACTCTCCTTCATTCACATCATTGTTACATTGTATTTATATATACTTCATTCATATCATTGTTACATTGTATTTACTCTCCTCCATTCACATCATTGTTATATTGTATTTATAGTCTTCGTTCACATCATGTTACATTGTATTTACTCTCCTTCATTCACACCATTGTTATATTGTGTTTACTCTCATTCATTCACATTATTGTTACATTGTATTTACTCTCCTTCATTCACATCATTGTTACATTATATTTACACTCCTCCATTCACATCATTGTTATATTGTATTTATAGTCTTCGTTCACATCAGTGTTACATTGTATTTACTCTCCTTCATTCACATCATTGTTATATTGTGTTTACTCTCATTCATTCACATTATTGTTACATTGTATTTACTCTCCTTCATTCACATCATTGTTACATTGTATTTACACTCCTTCATTCACATCATTGTTACATTGTATTTAAACTCCTTCATTCACATCATTGTTATATTGTATTTATACTCTTCATTCACATTGTTACATTGTATTTACACTCCTTCATTCACATCATTGTTACATTGTATTTAAACTCCTTCATTCACATCATTGTTATATTGTATTTATACTCTTCATTCACATTGTTACATTGTATTTACTCTCCTTCATTCACATCATTGTTACATTGTATTTATACTCTTCATTCACATAATAGTCTCTGTCCATTTTTCTATACAGCTGAGCCAGTGCGGGGGCCTTGCGTACCCGTGGGGGGCGGGGCGGGGTCATCCAAGGATGTCTCATTGTAGATCAGAATTTCTAGTACATGCTTCCATCAGTGCTGCCTGCTCGGTATACGACCCGGAG